CTCTGTAATTTTTTAGTTCAAACACTTGTCTTCAGTGTTTTAAATTAGGAACTGAAAAGCAGTTGCTTAAGGAGAGTCTAGAAAGGGAGGGGTTTCTGGTTTAAGGGTCATAAGTCAATGAGCAAAGGAGGGCCCATGTTCACCTATGATAATACTCTTGATTTCTACTCCTCGGTTCCTTGACTCACACAGTTATTGATGCTAAAAAACTCTAACTCTCAGGTTTACAGTGTCAGTTTAAAATTGGAGGCAGGGAGAAGGATGCCAGATTGTATGTTTCTTAGAGGCTAGGATGCCCTATTCATTTCTATATACTCCAGTTCCCTTGGTGCTCAATTCAGAATTCATTGATAAATAAATATAATTTAAAGTAGGGTTTAAATTTTTCAATCTAGTTGCAAAACATGTGGAATCAAACTTCTCAGATTCATATCATTTTTCCTCTATAGGTGGATGACCAGGGGATTCCTCCCTGGGCTTCCAGTTATTTCCTCTAGAAAAAAAGGTGGTGATAGAACCGACCTCACAAGGTCACTGTGGGCACTGAATGCATTTATATTTTGAAACACGTAGAACTGTGCCTACCATGTAGTAAGCACTCAATGAACTTAAGCTATTATTATTTTTACATCATCATTTGGGTAATTGTCCTACATTTTGTACCTAAATTAATTTCTCAGAGAATCTGGTCAACATTAAAGTTGGTTGGCATAGTGATTTGAATTTTGGCTCCCAAAAGATATGCCCTGAGAATGTGACCTCATTTTGAATAGGGTCTTTTGCAGATGTAATTAAGACAAGGATCTCGAGATAAGATCATCCTGGATTAGGATGGGCCCTAAATCCAATGACAAGCGCCCTTGTTTGGACAAGACAGAAAAGAAGATGACACAGAGAGACATGGAAGAAAGTCTCATAAAAATTTAGGCAGGGATTGGAGTTTTGCTGCAACAAACCAAGGAGCACTAGAAGCCCCCAGAACCTGGAAGGGGAGGAAGGATTCTCCTCTAGAGCCTTCAGAGGGAGTGTGGCTCTGCCAGCATCTTGATTTTGGACTTTCAGCATCTAGAACTGGGAGAAAATACATTTCCATTGTTTTAAGCCACCAGGTTTGCGGTACATTGTGTGGCAGCCCTAGAAAACTAATACAGTTGGGTACAGTTTGGAACAACCTAAATTTGGTGAGAAAACAAGCCCAAATGTGAACTGGTAATCATTACCAATGATTTCAGTTCTCCTTTTCTCAAATCACGTACTTCAGGGAAACTTCTCTTTAGGAAGGAAAATCACAGGCTTCAGGGACTGGAATGTTCAGGCCACTCTGTCCCATCCACCTCCAGCCAAAGATATTTCTGCCGGGAAGCTTGAAAGCATTCTGCATTTTCCCACAGGGATGAAGTGGAAGTACTTAATGGGCAGTAAGGCACTAGACGAAGTTGGCCACTATCTGGCCTCAAATGAATGAGCAGGGAACAAAGCTCTCAGTCCTTGTCTAATAAACATACCCACACTGATCCCCACTGCCTTGGGGATCCCCACCTGTAGAGGTCAAGTAGGTCATTAGACAAAGACTCCAAGCTAAGAAAAGATACCTGGTTGCTGAGAGACCAACATAACTGTATATTTCTCCCAACTCTATGGGTTCTTGGAATTACATCTATGAAACAGATCTCCTTTTTAAATGAAAAATATATCCAGGTCATCTGCAAGATCCTTCTATGACTTGGAACTGTAAAGGAGTCCTCAGGAAAGGATGTTGTCAAACCCACGGATACCAGAGAAACTTTCATGCTTTCCCTCTCTTCTAAGTCCTGGAGAAAATTACCAGCAGACAGAACAGCGACTGTCAGAAAGAGGTGACTTTTTTGGAGCAAAGGCATTAGACAAGATGACACATGCTGACAGGTTCAGTAAAGAGTTGATGCTCTGCCAATCAGAAGATAATCTCTGTGTGTTTGCAACGTAGGAAAGATTGCGAGTCACACAGCATTTCAAAGACAGGTCACAATCACTCCATGTGTCATCTAATGTGAAGGTCAAAAGAAAGGAGAAGTGGTGGAGGCAGAGAAGGGAAGAGCAGGGAGATTTGTGTGCAGATGGATCGAACACATCCAGGCAGGTCTCGCTTCATATTTTCAGACAGTGCCCAGGGAACCTGTGTAATTACCTGCTTTTAGACATCTGAGGCTCTCACCTCACATGTAGACAGCACTTCATTAATTCATAAGTCCTTTGTAACTCATGAAAGTCTCTTCTTACCTGGCTCAGTGAAGGTTTCCTTTCCTTCCCTTACTTGGTAATTTATTCAATCTATATCCAGGAAGGGAAGGGTCATAGAGAAGAGGTGGGTGAGGAAGCCAGAGGAGGAAGCCACACATAGTGTCCCAGAGCACTCAGAGGCCAGCTTCCCTGTTTAATGGAAGAGTTACAGACCCTGAAAACACTCTCACCGAACAGGAGGAAAACATTCTAAGGCAAACGGATTCAAAGGATTTTTGTGAATGTCAGTTGCTTTTTCCCATTTGAAAAGAAAATACTGAGAGAAAATGAGAGAAAGAGAGAGAAGAGAGGGACTCTGGTCTTCATGAAACACACGGGTAAATCATTTTAGTGCCTATTTAAAATATGTAAATGTTTAATTCCTCCACTTTCCATCAAAGAGCTTTTCTGAGGGAAGGATGCATTTTTAGCACTTAAAATTTAGTACACATACACTCACACACACACACACACACTTGTGCTGTCTATCCACAACCCTGAAGAAGAGAATAGGGTAATTTTTATAAATAACTTGGTGAGTATAAAAGCTGGGCAGTAAGTGCAAATATGCTCCATTTAAAAAAACAAACAAACAACAAAAAAACCCTCCATCCTTCCTGCCCAGGAATGTCAAGTTGGCTGCTAAGGCTGTGACAATGCAAGTGTTGAGCACGTAATCACACTGAGGATCTGCTGACCAGTTACTGCTGACAGTCCCTGTTCACTCTGATTCATCACTTGCACCGGAACCAAGAGACGGTAAAAGGCCATGAGGTTACAGCAGGAGAGAAAGTTTCAGCCTATGTCGGGATAAGGATCTTTGTTGCCCTAAGATCCTTTCCCAGCAATTGTCCTGTTTGCGGGGTTCACCCTGTCCTGAGGCAGGCAGTGGAGGGGCTTGGATACTTGTGTTTCAGATCCAAAGGTTTCTCCCAAGATAGAAGAAGTGATAGGAGTGAGAGTAAAGAGATTATTAGAGACCAGAGGCTTGGCTGGGCACAGAAGCAAGCTACGAGGAGTCACTGGAGACGAAGGGTTTATTTAAACACACACACATCCCTTCTAAACTGCCTCACAAGTATCACCCCATGAAATATTTGAGCAATTGGTCTGTACACAAACACATACTAAAAAAGAAAAGAAAAAGTATACCCAAGTAGATGACCTCTTATCAAAAGTATATATATCTTGCCCAGCCGGCCAGGGTGCCTCAGTTGGTCGAGTGCTGTCCCATGCACCAAGAGGTCCCTGGTTCCATTCCTAGTCAGGGCACATGCTCGGGTTGTGGGCTCAATCCTCAACCCCCAGTAGGCGGCGTGCAAGGAGGCAGCCAATCCATGTTTCTCTCTCATTGATGTTTCTATCTCTCTCTCCCTCTCCCTTCCTGTCCCTCAATAAACAGCATATTTTTTTTAAAGTACATATATCTTGCTAACCAGAAGCCACACAGTAGTTCTGATATTTGGGAAACTATGTGGTTACATTAAATAAATGGTGAACCATTTGTGAAAAATCAAAGCACACACACAAATCATCCCCGGCACCGTTTCTATTTTCTGACTTACTACTGTGTACAATACTGTTTTCTGGTCCTGCATTTCACATCTAAAGCTTCAGCAGACTTTTCTTCCCCCAGGAGACTATTAATTTTAAAAGCCAGGAGCTTTGTCTGCTCTTCTAATCACCATGACCTGTTGTACTTTGGAAAAGGCAAAGACCAACCCTGTCTTGAGTGGGAGTCATTTTTGGAATAATGGTGGGTGGTAGTTCACATCTGGATTAGGTATAAAACATAACATTATGATGAAGAACACCACAGAGCCTCATCTCCATATAAATAGACCTAATCAGAAATGCAAATTGCAATCAGGAGAAATTTTTAAGGGCTGTGATAGCTGTGTGATTGTGCGGATCAGGAAAGGTTAACACTTGTATTGTCAAAGTGATTCAACAGCTCTCAGCCAGCCCACAGCCTTCCTCTGAAAGAGCAATGTGAAAGGCGCAGATCTCTCGCCCCACAGCCCGGCTGGGAAGGAGCTCCCGGACAGCGTCTGCGGCCCGCTGAACATCGGCGCGATTCTGATGAAAGACAACCAACCAAACCTCTTGTACAAACCCCTATCGGATACACACAATAGAAAATGCTCTGGCGTTTAAACACACTCCAGATAGACCCCTTTCAGCACAATTTCCCACTGAGACAGAAATTAAGGGATGGAGAAATACTGTACAGAAGAAATACTGTACATTTTACTGATGTAACATTTAAAAAATATTCTTTAGTGCTGGTCTGAATGGATACAAAAATACGATACACAATTTCATTCATCCCCAAATTTTCCCAAATACTGGAGAAAGATTCAGGCAAACAAACAAACAAAAAAACAACTATAAAAAAATCTATAATTAAAAACAAAACACAGTATTTAGACAGATTGCTTAATCCTGAATTGCATTCGTAGTCCTCTCCTGCAAAGCACCAACAATGGACATCTCAAAAACTGGAGTACACACTGAAAATATGCAACTGCTACAACAAAGTCCCATTATTCCTTGAGATATGTTATCGTTCAGGAATTCTCTTCCCCCTTTCTTCTTTTTATCCCTCCAGAAGAAATACTGTACATTTTACAATCAGGCTCTCACAGATTTGGGGACAAATTGTTTAGGAGCTATTATCCCGGCTAACAGCTGCTTTCAACCAAGAATTTACGAGCCAAGAGCGCCATCGTGTGTCCTACCTTGGAATCTTAAAGAGCGTTTTCACAGGATGCATGTCAAAGAGGGGAGGGTCTCCGTCCCCCAGTTCAATGGCTGTAATCCCCAAGGACCAGACGTCACAACGCGCGTCATAGGAAGAGTCATACTGCTGCTCACAAGCGATAACCTATCAGACAAAGGCAGGACACAATACATCAACCCCACTGCCACCTCAGATGTCCTAAAAGGCCCTTGGCTGATTTTAGCCCCTTCTCAGTTCCCTTGGCTATGCTGATATTGAATTGCAGTAATAATAGGATGTGTGTTTTCTAGGCCTTATTTGTGTGTGACTGATCTGATGTGTTTAACATCTGATATGTCCATTAACTTTTTAAAATGTGTCAGTTCAGTTCAATAAACATGCTTTGAAACCCTCTAGGTACCAAGAACAGTACAAGAGGCACGAGGGTGAACGCTTCATGGCACCTGCTCTGACATTCTTTAAGGAAAGGCTTTGTCTGCACCCTTCCCCTCATTCCAGCTGCTGAATTCAACAGTGAGGAACACTTATTCTCAAAGACACTTGTCTCCTGAGCGAAATCCCCAGGAGTAGCCAAGCAGAAAGATGTTGGAAGACGGACAATAGATACAGTTAACATAAAATAGGAACTGGTCCCTCTCCTTCCCTTTTTCTAGGAACTTCTGCTCCCTCTTCAAATTCCAATTACTGGTTTGTATTTTAGCAGCAGCTGCCACTTCAGTTATTGGTCTGATTGGGTACAAGAACAGCAGAACCAGAAAATGCCCCTGCGTTGTCATTGCTTTGGGAAGCAGGGAATCTTCTAGTGAGACCTCTTTCTATCAATTTTTTGAGTCAGACAGAACAGGCCTCTCCACTCAGACTCCGATGGCTATCACAGTGGGGCTTCGAGAGGGCAGGGTGAGCCAGAGGATGTGCAGGGACAGGTGCCCCTATTTGACTGGAAATATGCCTCCACCACCAACATAGCCCAAGGCTCTGGGCAGGTAGGAAACTTGGAGTGTCTGATGATGTACTGGTCCAAACAGCCTACGAGGTAGATAAGCACTGGGGAGAGGGGCAGTGCAATGGGCCTACCTACCCCCTTAGGCCATCCGAAGGCCTTTGGTTTTGGTTCTGAGTGAAATGGGGCAACTGGGGAGCAGAGGAGTGACATATCTGGCTTACATGTTAGCAGGAGCACTCTGCCTGCTGCGCTGAGGATGCATGAAAATGGGATGTGAGTAGAAGCAAAAGGAATCCCAACTAGAGACAGTGAAAAATAATCAGATTCTAATTATGTAATTTTAAAGGTGGGCCAATCAGATTTGCTAACTGTGGCTTTATAAGATAGAAGAGCTGATAAAGAGTCTAGAATGTTTGACCTGGGCAATTTCAGAATGGAATTGGTATTTAATGAGATGAGGAAGACAGTAGGAAAAGCAGGTTTGGGTTGAAAAGCGAGATCTCCACTGGGGACATAGTAAGTCTAAGATGCCTACGAGGCTCCCAGATGGAGACTTCATTTTAGCTGGGTAAGACTCATACTGGACTTCTAACTTAGAGAATTCTGACCTAGAGAATAAATGCTTGTTGTTTTAAGCCACTTAATGTGTGACGTTGTTGTGGCAGAGATAGAAAACTGGTACACCTGCTCTCTGCCAGACCCAGTTCACTGGACTGGCAAAGTCAGCAAATGTGCCTAACATCTTGCCTGGGACCTGGTGCCCTTCTTTCCAGAATTGCCCTCTGCCCTCCCTTCAGGTTTCTGAACGGAAGAATGTTTCTCCATGTACCTGCATCCCTGGCCTGATCCCAGCCCCATCCTCTAAATAGACTATCCTGACATAGAATATCCTGTCATGCTTTAACACGTTATTTTCAAACACATATTTAAAGTTCAAATAGTCCCAATTTCAGAAGCAGAGGCCATTTCATTGCCCCTAAAGGCCTCCCTGTCATCACCCCAATCAGGTGAAAAATGACACTATTTTTAAAATATCTCCAAAAAAGGCTATTCAACACCTTCCCTTTCAGAAATGACATTTCCAAACTCCAGGGACAAACATCATTTTAGACACATCAATCTGAGAATAGTTGACCATTTTTATACATTCCTGTGAGGGAAAGAGAAATAAGACTCTATCCTTCCCCAACAAGAGCAACGGCCAACTGAAATGTAAGTGAACCTATGGTAATTAAATGGCAAATCACGACAATTATAAATGTCTAGGACAATGTATACTAGCATGTCTAATACAGGATACGGGTTCCAAATGCTTGTGATATGAGAGGGAGACCACTGGAGGCTAAACAAGACAACCAAGAGTATCTAGTGCCAAAGGCCACAACTTCGGGGAAGAAATTTAAATCAACCTCTAGCCATTTCAGATGAGACACACAAGACATTCCAAGAACCTGTCCAACTGTGGGAATGGAGATGTCCTAAGGTTTCTCAAGTGCTGTCATAAAACATTCAAAACATTTATCTGGTTTCAACTTCTCTTTACAGACAGACACTAAGTCTGATTAATAATAAAGTATCCTTTGGCCAAATTCTCTTCCCAAAACTCAGCTTTGTAGTGTGACAAAAAAAATTCTTTAAGCTCAGTCTTCCAAAGAAGTTTATAGAAAAATTCACTAGTAAAAGAATTTACAAATAATTATTGAGTACCCAAGAGCCAGGCATAGTATTAGGCCCTAGGAAGAGAAAGCCAAATGCATACTTAATATAATCTTCATAATCTTTCTGTGAGGTAGGTGCTATTGTCACTTTTTTACAGGTGTAGAAACTGAGGAATAAATAACACAGTTAAATAGCTCACCCAGAGCCCACTGCTAGTCATTGTCAGGGACAGTGGAGAGGCAGAGGAGAGGCAAGTAAACAAATCATAATTATGATAAGTGCTGTAAATAACAAAGATTATGTTCAAGGAGTGGTTGAATTATCAGCTTCTGCACGCATGTTTTGACCGAACTAACTAGGTTTTGTAAGAGTTTTGTCACCTAAACTCCAACTTCTCAGAGGGAGTCTGTCTTTCAGGATTGGTCCTTACCAAGAGTGAACATGTGTGATGGGGTTTAAAGAAGCACTCTGAGAGGATGCATGAAGGTCAACACATCCTGGAATTGGATTCCCTTTCAATCCAACACCAAAGTCTACAAGGACCTCCTTAGGGGGAAAAGTGACCTCATTCTCCTTAGCTCAACATTCTCCTTGTCTCCAGGTGAAATAAAGCTGAGTTAGGAATCACACAGAAGGCTGATTGGCCTTTGGTTCCCTTGTCCCCGTGAGAAGGGGACCTCTCAAAGAGCTGTCTGAGTCTTGTTATGATGCTCCACTAAGAAAACGAGAGCCCGGCCGGGCGTGGCTCAGCAGTTGAGCATCAACCTAGGATCCAGGCAATCGGGGTTCGATTCCTGGTCAGGGCACATGCCTGGGCTGGCAGCCAATCAATGGCTCTTTCATCATTGATGTTTCTATCTCTCTCTCTCCCCCTTCTTTCCTCTCCCTGAAATCAATAAATACATGTTTTTTTAAAAAAAGAAAGAAAATGAGAGAGAGGGTGGCAATGGTAAGTTAGTGCACTGTCCTGGGACCAGGTTTCCCAGGTTCTCTAAGTCATATTAAAAGGATGGAGAGAGGCAGGATCAGATGGCATTGACACAGATCCAGGACTCAAAACACCTCTCTTCTCACACCCCTCCACCTCACCTCTACTACCCCAAGGGGCAGCCATGCCCAAGGCAAGTGTATACTCTCCTTTACCTCGAGTCTTTGCTTCAGTCATAGGAGTGTAAATGATGTTGGTTGCAGTGGAATGAATGGAGATGATAAAATAGGTGTGTGAGAGAGTTCAAGCGAAGACTTGCAGGACTTGGGCAAGGACTTAATATGGGAAGTTAGGGGAAGGGACACACCAAGAACGACTGATATTTTGATCCTGGGTGACCAGGGGAATGATGGTGCCATTTACAAAAACAGAAAAGTCAGGAGAAGTCAGTTTGATATGCAGTATAATAAGTTCAAATTGGGTCTGAGCTCTACCCCTAACCAAGTATAGAAAATGAATCACTTGTGCTCTCAGGACCTCAGGTTTTTCCCCCACATGTAGATGCACTAAGAAAAGCAAACTTCCATTAAGATCAGAAGCAGAATATACTAAAGGGTAACAATAAAATACTGACATGGTTCCAGGGACTACATAGAGCTTTGTATTACAGTAAACGTATCTTACATTTCAGAACTCTGTAGATTTAAATCTTCCTATTGTTGGCTGACAACACAATTAGTCAAAATTTGTAGTTTTAATACATAGATATAAGTACCAGAAGCAGATACCGGGTTGTATATCAGGACTTGAACAAATTAGAGTATTTATCTTAATCCAGTGCTGTGAATAGAAAACCTAATAAATGTCAAGTTTACAAAGTACAGATTCTCCAAAGTTGAATTTAAACTCCCCAGCACGTTGGAGGTTGATACGAAGAGGCTGTATCTTCTAGAATGTTCCACGAGGGTGTGTATAGACTGTGACAAAATATTTAGTGTACCTGGCAAAGACTAAAAGCATAGCATTCAATGAATCAAAATAGACACTGAGTCCTAGTGCAGTATTCACTGGTGGCCTAATGGCTCCAAGATTAAGACATTGTCTCACTGAGTCTCAATGAGTTTCAGAGATGTGTAAATCCCTACATGCTCCTGCAGAGTCACCGTTAGCAGGCTCTGGCATATCAGTAAGTGTTTATACTGCTTCTGAGTTTTAATGAATGATTTTACCTATTTGGTGCTAATCTATCATTAACCTCATCATTTCTTCTATGTTTTAAAAGGGCCAGAGCCTTGATGATCTCATCAAAGTAACCCCTAAAGTAAACAGAAGTAGCCCAGGCTAAGGATTATGTCTTATCTTTCTTCTCCGTCCACATCAATTTGCGGCCCTCCTGAGAGAAGATAGTTAACAAATCTTTCTGTTGGAATCAGAAGGTCTGAAATAGGTTATTTATCAACTGGATGCCTTTGAGCAAGTTCCTCGAAAACTTCGAGTTGAGGCCCTTTGGTTATAGGGACCTCACCTTCTAGATCTATAAAATGGCAAGGTGGGAATGAATGATATTTACTATCCCTTTCATCTCTAATATTCTATGACTTCACAATGTCCAAA